CGGCTAACCGCAGCCGATCGCCCCCATGTCAACGCTAACAGATCTCAGTTTCACACCATCTCCCCAACTGAGCGGACCGCTGTGCCACCAGCGGCGCGGGCGTCCGGTCCTGAGACGGCTAGCGCGACGACGCGCAGGTGCGCCGGGACAAGACGTCACCAACGCCGCACCCCGACCGCCCCGGCCGGCACCGCCCCCGCCGGTCAGCACCGACGACACGGCCGTGCGGAGGACAGCCGACCGGGCACTCCCAGGCTTACACCACGGCCTTAAGTGTCCCGAGTACACCGAAACGGATATTCGGTTTCGGAGTTTACAAGGAGCGCGACACAGACCGCCGTGAGACCGTGTATTCAAGAAAATGTAAGGACTGCACGCAAAGAAAAAAAGGAACTTGCCCTCAAGCAGAATGAAAATGAAGCTCCTTCATTTGACTGATCGATATGACATATCTATTTACCTGCTCACCTGCCATATGATGCAAATTGCATAGTTGTGCACCCTAATTAACCCGCTTGGCCGCAACCGCCGAACAATCACTGCAAACTGAGAGTCCGCATCGGGTACCTCTCCCACTCACGATGCTGAGCACGTCTTTCCCCTGCTGGAGGTTGTCGCGCGGCACAGGCGGCTCACCGAGCCTAACGGACCGGCCGGGCGCGGCCCCAGCTGGACGCATCTGCCGGCGCGGTGCGTGGCAGCATCCGGTCGGGTCCGGCCGGGCACGGGCCGGCCCCTGACCGCATGCCGGCCCGCTCTGTACGCGGAGAGCGCGACCGGCCGCCTGAGGACGGCGCCCGGCTGAGCCGGCACCGGCCGGCAGCGCGCGCACGGCCGGCGCCGTGACGCGCCGTCGTCACGGCAAGCTCACTGCCGGCAGAATGACTCGGCAAAATCCCCACCTGACGTCGGCCCCCCAGCTCTTCCAAATTCCACGCCACGTGCCGTATTAAAAACAGGCATCACCGCGCTGGGCGTGTTGGCCGTGCCACGTATCGGATGCCGATCCGTTCCCAGCATCACGAGCGAAGCAAGCCACGTCGAAATGTTTAACGTCATTGTTCCAGTAAAAACCAGGGAAACGATGCGCACCGTGACTCAGCAAAACATGCAACAAGCGACGGTTCCACAAACGTCGATACACATGCATGCACGCACGCGCACACACACACACACACATACACGCGCGCACACGCACACGCACGCGCACGCGCACGCGCACGCGCACGCGGCACGCACACACGCACACACACACACACACACACACACACACACACACACACACACACACACACACACACACACACACACACACACACACACACACACACACACACACACACAAACAAGACCGGACCCAAAAGCCGTGAAATGGCGTGAAATGTGCCATGAGCGGCGCAGGACAAAAGGCTTGCACAAGCCTCGGCCTCGCCACCATGGAAACCGCACGGCGTCACGCGTTTGAGGTTGTCTCGGTACAATTCCCGCGTGGTTCGAATCGCCCGGATCTCCCTTCACTCCCACACATCCGCTTAACAGGGCACGAAGGTGTGCATATTGGCACGAATATCCGCCGCCGCTTGCAAAACGCTGGAAATGTTACGAAAAATACATCAAGTGCCAGCCATTTCATCAGCAGCAGTGGGCTTCCGCAGCTCATACATGACGCACACCATTCTTACCGCCTTCGATGGCACTGCCTTCACTGCCCCAGCGACCGGGTACAACCGAGATGGGCTAGCGCTCCAACTGCTCAAATACATTTCGACAAATCAGTCGGAGCGAACACGACCTCGAGCTGTGCGATAGGTCCGGATAGCACACGGCTCTCGGGTGGACGAGCGTAGCCTGCGGCAGCCCCAGATGGCACCTCCAGCTTCCGATCGTATCAATCGAAGCAACAAAAAAAAGAAAACAGACCGGTTTGCCACTGCCTCTCGCGGCGCCGCAGTTGGCGCCGAGCACGTCAGATGGCCGCCACCGGCAGCACCGTCCGGCCCAGCCCGGAGCGCGGAGCGTCGTCCACGCGGCTGGCCACTAGCCCCGCCGCCAGACTGAGGGGCCGCCTGATCAGGTCAGAGGGCCTCACAGCTGGGCTGGAGAACCTCGGGTGTGACGGTCTCGGCGACTGGCGGGCGCGGTCAGCGAGTCGAAGGCCTCACTAACCGAGCACGAGCGTGATCGCGCCAGGCGAAGCTCACTGGCGGGCCAGCGGCCCGACCGAGCTTGACCGACCTCACGGCCACGCGTCAGGTCCGGCGGGCTTCCCGGCCAGTCCATGGGACCAGGCACGGGCTGGCGGTCCACACGCAGGACGGTGGACCCGCTCGGGTACAACACCCGCACGCCGCTGTCGAGCAGATCAGGTGTGGCGGCTTCACTGGTGGACTGCCTTGACCAGGTCTGGTGAGTCTCACTTCGCTACCGTGGATATGACCACGCCTGGAGGGCGCCGATTCTAGACAGCAACCTACAGTAATAATCTGCGTGCCGTGGGCCGCAGGCAGCCATTCGACTGCTCCGGCCTTCACGACAGTTGAACAGGAACACATGCTATTCGACATCCCGCCGCTGCAAAGCCGGCTACTGCGCACATCGCCGCGGCTCAGTGTTCACGTCATTGACCTTGTCTCCGGGTCAAAGGTCCGATCAGGTCTGACCAGCTCGGGCCGCGTTAGGTGCGCCATACTGCAGCCGGGCCCATGCTGCAAACGTTCACCGAACACGAACACTGCCCCTCAGTGCGTGCACCGACCACCCATCCGCAGGATGACTTCTGCGCTAATGCCGTGAGCTCCGTTAAAGGGGGAGGGGAGGGGGAAGGGGCTGTCAGCGGCCAAAAACGCGTGACGTAGGTCGGCGTTTTGTTATTAAGACTAACGGCCTGAGATGAGCTTAGGGGCGCGTTCTTCTCCCATATGTATCACGCTCGGTAGCAGCGCGCGCATGAATAAGTGTCAGGTCACTCCAACGGCGTTTATTCCCCCGGTCAAAGCTGTACCCAAATGTCATGGTTTTCATCAGTTTCCAGGGACACATCCAGTCCCATACCACAGGTATAAAAATCAACCATTTAAGCCAACAGCAAGGTGAGCGCCCCATAAAATGACGCAACAAGAGCACCCTGGGACCTTCGCTAGCGAAACAAAACATTTTTACATACCAATAAACCACGTCTTTAGCTCATACCGGTTTTCGGCACGGCCCATGCACGCGGCATCACCAAGGGAAGACCGCAGCTTTCAGCGGCCAGAATGGCCCACCTTAATCCTGGTGAAAAGCCCCAGCGTCCCGGCCGCAGACCGGGCGCCGGTGCGGGCGTCCATCAGCTGGCAGCCTGTCTCGCCGACACCAAACGGGCCACCCCGAACGAGTCAGGGCGCGAGTATCGCCGCTGGAAAAGTCCCAAACCAGCTGGGCGTAATCCGATTGCCTTCTCATTCAATGGAATAGCGGGATAACGATCGCCAGTGAGTCACCAACTTCCCCAGGCGTTACGTCCCACGGACGGTGGCTCTCGCTCTTTAGACACCCATCGAGAATCTGTCGGATCTCCACCATATTACTGCAGTCTCTTGGTCAGAGTTCTCACACTGTTGCAAAGCATTATACAAGAATAGACTGGACGCCTCGGCTCATAACTGACCCGAGATACCGCTACCATATAAGCCGCTAGCCTAGCCCGAAAACGGGCAGAGACCGAGAACGCTCCAGCCTTAGCTTCGTTCAGTGTCCCGGCGATACTCGATAAAGCATTGCTAAAATGATTATTGTTTGTGAAGACAAAGCTAGTTATTTGCTAGTTATGACAAATATTTCAAGCAGCTGTTATTGCCGCAATTTCCGCAGAATTTTTGCCCGCCGTAAGCCAAGCACTGCATACAAATTAGCCTTCACCGCCCCACCTTACGCACACACTGAATTACAGCACATTCGCAGTCAAAATGCTGGCTGTGAATGCGTGAATTCTGGCTCATTTGCTTCCGCCAAGCCGGAGAAGAGCGAGCAAGGGAAGTAGCGTAACTGAGAGCGAGAAACATCATGCGGGCATTAGCCAGCGCCTAGTCAACTCGCCGTCTGGCGCCAATAATGTCAACGCCGGACACTATCTCGAAGCATCCAGACATGGGGAACAAGGGGCCCCAGAACAGCAGAGCGCGATGTCGTCATGACAAAAGCCACCAGGCAGCAGCAAAAACCGCCTGAGTTACTGCCGATATGGGCGGGCAGTAAGACACGGCATTACCAATACGCAGAATCGCCCATGCCGCGGTGTCACTTCCTCGCAGTGGCAAGAAACGCGTACAGGGTAGTGCTGGATGGAAACACCACAGTTCCCGGAGCGGACCTTACACGTGGCGACGCTGCGAGGGCACGGAGCACGACGCTAACACCGAGGGAATCCCCCAGCACGTGGCCGTCGATGCGCAGGCTGCTTCACAGCGGAGAACACCGCCAATGGCGCGCGAGTCCCCCGCTGGTCGTCGTGACGAAGAGCAACAGGATCCAGCACCTTCACCGTGTTCGTTGAGAGCACCGTGCCATCTGGCTGTGACCCAACTGGGCTTTCAGCCTTCCGTGCCACCTCAGAGGCGCAAATAGCAGAACAATGAGAGGAAAACTCCAGTTACGATTGCGCGGCGGCCATAAAGCAGCAGTCATCGAGTGATCTGCCGCCGGCGAGACCGGCCGCGCCACATTCCCCGGCACAGGCGGCGCACCGTCATCTTCCGGCACGCCACCACCGCACCCGGCGGGCACACAGCACGACATGGGACGTCGAAGAGCAGAGCCGTGCATGCCACCGAGCCGACCTTGGTATGGACGGTCGCGAGGAGCACGTGCTTCGGCCCTGGCCGTGAACCCTTCGGAAGTGAAACGCCGTCCTGGTTCGTGCAGGGCAATGTACGGATGCTTTAAATGCTGAAGATCTTCGAACGCCCGATTGATTATGCAAGTATGCAACGCTCCAACGGTCGCTCCATCCGGCAGGGACTGACCTTAAAGCAGGAGGCCCTGTACAGCAGCTGAACAACGTGGCCGATGCTGGTTTTGGACGCCTGCGGAAAGTGCGGCTCCAGCCGCTGTACAACGAACATGACGAGCACCTTGCGCGAGAGGGCGTACCCCTCCTCCAGCGCCAGCAGCACCAGGCGCAGTACCTCCTCCTGCATGGCTGCGAGGGGCACGAGGTGTGTCAGCGTGCGCCAGCGGAACCACGCCGTGAGCGACGACAAATGTGGGAAATCGGCGACAAAAACAACACAGCAGCATTAGCACCGCGCCAAGCGTTCTGCTGTTCAATGTTTTGGTACAGCTCCAATCGTTGTAAAAGCGCTAAACGCACAGGGTCCAGAACTCGCATCACGTCTCGCCTGGGTCATGAGCACTAACTTTCAGAAGACATAATGAAGTTTCGCCCAAACCAACCCCTGACACGGCCGACGCCGTGCAATGCCCCAGCCCGGGCCGCGTCCCTACTGACCAGGCCCGAGGAACTGGCAGCCGCGCGCGCGCACGGCTGCCCACAGATTGGCCGACAGCTGCGCCGGGTTCTGGTGGTGCAGGATCAGCTCGGTGACGGTGCGCTCTCCGAGCGAGCGGCACGCGCGCAGTACGCGGCTGCGCCCCTCCGGCTCCAGCAGCTGGCACGTGACGATCGTCACCAGCTTACGCTGCATGGAGCGCGACAGTACGCTGGGGCCGCCCGCGCCGCCGCCCGACCCGCCACCTGGCCGGCAGACGAGGGAGCTCAGCTTAGGGGATAGCCGGCAGGCAGAGCCGCGGTCAGCTTGGCGCGTTTGCAGTGTAAATGTGTAACCGGTGCATGTGGTACCCGGTGCTGATGGCAGCCACAGCCTGGAGACATCACACAAAATTTTGGTTGAATGCCAATAGTACGGTCTAGATCCAGAGCTGGTCACTGCAACGTGAATCGGCTGATTCAAGAAGTTGCACAAACTTAAGTTAGTTGTAAAGTGCAAGGGCGAGGAACATTTTTCACACAGATAACACAGAAGTAATAGCCTTATTGCTTGAAGAAAAACCAGGAAAAGGGAGATATAGGCGCGTTGATATTTCGGCAACATGCCTTTATCGAAACAATGGCAGAAATGAATTGTTTGCGTGAACCGAATATTCACTTCTGCTATTGTTTCGATAAAGCCATGTTGCCTAAATATCAACGCATCTCTACCTCCATTCTCCGGGTTTTTTCTCAGAAGAGTACGGTGTCTTATCTAAGTTTGGCAAACACCAAAACAAACAAATGTCCTTTCAGGATGAAGAATAAACTTTTAAGCCACAGAAAAGAACAAGTCATCACTGACTGACAGCTGTCAAACGTTAGAACTGCACGGCGCGACCGCAGGCCACACCTAAAACCGCCAGTGCCCAATGATCTGAAACATACCTGAATCAACAACTATTCAACACAAAGCGGCAAGAATTTCGCTCCTTCAGTAGCACCCATCGGACAGCGCCCTGCGCCAGAGCGCGTGCACGGTGCGCGTTGTGAGGCTGATTTACCGGGCGGGAGCGGCTTCAGGAACAGCGCCAGCTCCTCGATGCGGCAAATGGCGCTGAGGTAGGCCTGGTGCTCGTGCGGCGCAAGGCTGAGCGGCGGCGCCGCCGGCCGCTGCACATCGCCCGCCGTCACCAGCTGCAGCAGCGCCCAGTTGAGCGGCAGCTGGTCCAGGTCCAGCCCGATCACCGACTGAAACACGTCATCTGGTCGTCACCAGCTGCAGCAGCGCCCAGTTGAGCGGCAGCTGGTCCAGGTCCAGCCCGATCACCGACTGAAACACGTCATCTGGTCGTCACCAGCTGCAGCAGCGCCCAGCTGGGCGGCAGCTGGTCCAGGTCGAGCCTGACCACCCAGCGAAACAATTCAAGAACGCCTCAGTCACCGACTGAAAGGTAATGCGAGAACACCAATGCATAACGCATCAACGCGGCACCAGCGGTGACGTGAGGCCCGTCCAAGATATCGACGATACCAAGACACTCGTCCAAGAACTCGAACACTGTAGACATTCTCTGATCACTGGCTTATATATGTTGGAGCTTGGTTACGAAACCATGCTGCTAGGTCACCGACCAATAGAAAATAGCGAACCTCGTCACCAACTCCGACACAGATACACACAGCAGAACCTGGTCATGCTTGCATATTGCATACCTACATGACTGATGAAGTGACCACACAGGCTGCTTTATGTGATATATCGACAGACATCATACATGCAGAACAAGCGTAAAACATGGCTAGACATGACCTTAACATGACTGACCATTACACAAAACATGAAATCAAGTACAGAACAAAGTTGCTGAAAAGAGCAGTTTTAAAACATCACACCTGATGCATGACACTTCACAGCAACTTCATCCAGGTCTCAAGCCACAGGCAAAACAGAAGGCCACTCAAGTCACTGACAAAAAAGCAGACACCACCCAACCGCCGAAATGAACACCACACATAGTCCGGTAACGGACTAAAACATGCATCACCTCATCGCCCGTACATCACCAAGCTGGCCACAGAGACCGCTCTACCCCAGAAATACGACCACAAGATCTTCAGAACAGACACGACTACCACCTTCCATACTCTGGCGAGCGTAGGCACGTGAGAGGAGCTGGTCCGGTCCGGCGGACGTCGTGAGGTACGGACCAATCGAGTGCCACCCGACCAACGGAGCACACCCAAGTCTGGCTCTCAAGTCCCAGTCACCTGCTCAGTTGGTACCATGACGCCATCCGGGGACACACGACATCGTCACAGTCTGGCGACGAGTGCCCCAATATCTCTTACCCTCAGCAGTGTGAGAACAACTAATGACAGCCAACTGTGACCTCTCTGGAGACAACTGTGAACCATTATGTCATTCCCTACTCTCAGCAGTGTGAGAACCCCTCATGACAGCCAACTGTCGCCCCCTTGGGATAACTATATACCCTTATGTCATTCCTTACTCTCAGCAATGTCAGAACTCCTAATGACAACCAAATGTTACCCTCTGGGGGATGACTACCAGCCATTATGTCATTCCTTACCCTCAGCAGTGTGAGAACCACTAATGATAGCCAGAGGCCACTGCGGACAACTAAATGAAGACTTCAAGTACCGAGGACTTCGGTTAACACGCACTCGGGTGGGGGGTCAAACTGACCCCCCGAAGGTTTTTCCACAATGGTTTCCGAACGGCGCGGCGCAGCAGCGCCAAATTTTTCATAGCTGTAGACAATTGAATAGCGGATCGTCTGGCATCAAAAATTAAGACGTATCTTGTGAGGTCGCTGACCTATGGTAGGTCGAAGTCAGGTCATGGTTGCAGCAAAGGCAATTTCTAGGGAATCATTCAATCTGATCCAATATCTCAGTAGAGTGTTAGACATAGAGTGTTAGACGAAGCCACACATCTCTGAAATGCTTTCTTAGGCAACAAAACAATTGAATGAGCAAATTAACTTGACCTAAGGTCAGGTATAAAGGTCACACCAAGGTCAAAACCAACATGTTTCATTACTTTAGGGCTTGCTGCATGGAACAGTTTCTGGTGCTCACTTCGAATTTATTGATCGCAGGAACCGCATTTCACATCTTCCATGGACTTCTTAGAGGTCAGACTAGGTCATTGACCTAAAATGACCCAGGTCAACATTTTTTTTTTAGAAACATACTGCCTAGCATAATCTTTGTCAATTATTCCAATGCAAAACTCAAACAGTCTTGTATGATTCTGGTCAACATGACCTTCCACGAGGTTAAACACGGCCACTAACCTTAAGTGTGCATGTGAACATTTGCTTAGAAATGGTTATCTAGGTTCTGGGGGCACTTTGGAGACCAACCTGGAGTTTGACCTTGTTTGACCTATTTGACCTCAAGGTCATGACTAGGGAACCTCAAACTTTGATCGAAGTGAGTTCACATACAGGTCAACACACCTTGCCAATTGGTGTCTCTAGCCTTCTTAGTTCCCGAGATCTCAGGGGGGGGGGGGTCAAAATGACCTCCCCTCCCCCACACGAGCAAAGGGTATCCAGCCTGCCACCCAGACGCATGTTAACGTACACACGCATGACGCACGCACGCACGCATGACTGCCATCAGCCGTGGACGACAGACGGCAGACGTGCCCGTACGCCGACACGCCACCGTCTGAAAACCACCAGCCGCCAGGGGGCGGCGCCGCCGACAGACCTGGTCGAATGGGCAGCGCTTCCTGTGCAGCTCCTGTAGGCATGCCTTGCAGATGGTGTGGCCGCAGCTGAGGCTGACGGGGCCGCGCTCGCGGTTAAAGCCCCACAAGCAGATGGGGCAGGTGAGGAACTCGGTCCACTGTGGACCCTGGATCGGCATGGCGCAGCCCGTCACGGCCGCTGCCGCCGCCCCTGCGTCGGCCCGCCGCAGTGCTGTCGTCTGCCAGCACGGGCCGAACGCCGTCAGTGATCCCGTCATGGCCTGCTGACACTGACAGGTGCTGGGCCAGCGGAGCAGAGGCCTACAGGCGCCATGTGCCAGGAATATTACCATGCTGCATATTCTTATGAGTCATGAGTCACAAGTGGTTTCTAACAGTGTCACAGACAAGATTTATGCCATGTAACTGTGATGAGCCAGACAGAGGACAGCTAAAAACATCACAGTTGGCATCAGCATGTATTTCGTGCATGTGTTGCTGGCCATCAAGATTACTTGCAAATGTGCTCATGGGACTCCAACCAGATCCACATTTGGAGTGCTTTTTAGAGCTTGAGAACTAGGAAAACCTCTTCTCAAAGCATTTGCCCAGATCACATGTACATGTTTGCTTTTGCTTGAGCCAATTATGTTGGTGCATGATGCAAAATATCAGCATAATGTGACTGAATTCCTTCATCAGTCAAAATTGGATCCATATACTCATAGTTCCTGAGCCCATGTGTGCTTTTTTCTAAAACATGGGCCCAGGATGGTTAATATCTAAATAACTGCATATTGAAAGGTGTCAGCATAAAAAATCATGCAGTTATGTATGCAGGGGGGATATATACATTCATACATCCAGAATTCTAGTTTTTAAGCAACCATTATTGACTGCTTATTTCAAACAACATTTAACTGTAATCCCTTACACATGACATGCCCAGCTGATTTTGTTAAAGATGCTTGGTGGTCCACTACCTGGGTTGATGCTGATTGGCCCATCTTAACCAATGAGAAGGATCAATAGGCAGTGAATCACAAGCCAGGGGCTGCATGAACAGTTTTGACATCCCAGGAAGCCAAGTGGCCAAATATTGAAACACTGACCAGCATGTGGAAATACTTTTAATTTAGTAGTGGCCTTGCACATGTGTTGGCTATGTCAGAGCATGGGTTGTCCCCAATGGCCCCAAACTTCTTTTTGTTGGAGTCAAACCCATGGTTGATATATGCAGGGGTGTAACATGCTAAGAGCTTAAGTTCATTTTGATACACCAATAAATGAAGCATACCTCTCAACATAAGCCTACATGTTATAAATACATGTGTAGATTAATGACTATTGTTGAATGGAGCTATTCATTCCATATTTTGTAACTGCTTGTGCTTTCATCCTTGCTTTTGTGTACCTGTGGTTCTAAAATTGAGACAACAAACAACCATGAGCTTGAGCTACAAGTACTATTATTTCAAAACAGGCATTATGAGCTAAACTCTCCCAGTATAACCTATACACACTTTAATAGTTTACATAACAAAGTTATATAGGGTTTGTCTTTTTGTAAAAGAGACCTTTTGCAAGTTTTGAGATCTTTAATATGCCAGCCAGTCAGAGATTATCAATTAAAACCTCTCTTTTTTGGGGAAGTTGGAAGGTTAGTTTACACCCAAGATTCACATGATCTGCCACATGCAGGCAAAACCCTACTTCCACATCACATACTTTTTTGACAGAATATTTTACCTTCATGAGAGAATATTGTTACCATGATCACCAACAGGCCCATGGATTCATCATTTAAAGACATGTTACAAGATTTAACCTGGCCTCAGCACACCTTTGCCATTGGTGTATCACAACACACTCGGCTGCTGAGGCTATATGACATTGCCTGCCTCTGAGCCCAGCAGGAAGGGTGTGGACTACAGGAAATTAAAACCTGTACCTCCGATTTCACAGAAATGCAGCTGAACCATGACACTATTGGCACCCCTGAGCACACACCAATCATTGTACTTCTTAGCAGAGACAAATTTGATCTTGACCTTCAAATTACTTTTATCATTTGTGGAATTATCACAGTATATGCAAGGATGTGTGAACAGTGGTGCAATGCCCAGAACAGTTAACCAAGCCCTGACACATGCCATCTGATAGAAAACATTAATATTCATATACCATGTGATAAAAAGCATTCATCATCACATCTCATCCAATCAAAAGCATTCTGTTCTCTACAGACACTAATGATCAACTCAGTGCAGCTTCCCTTGTTACCTTTTGCCAATTACACTATTACTATCAGCACCACCATTTCATCCACATTAACTGTGTGAGCAGTTAATGTGGTACAGGACATCCCAGCACACCACATTAACTGTGAAAATAATAGCACCTGATAGTTTGAGGCTTCAAATTTTTGTAATATAAAGCAAAATAGCACTGCATACATCAATATCAAGTGCATAATTGACAGAGTTGTGATGCAAGATTGAGAAGTATTTCTGCATTACTATTTTGGTTACTATCTAATTGGAGAAAGCATGCACATGCTTGATTTGTGCACACATCATGGACAGCAGCCTGCATGACATGGACCAGGGATGGCAGGACAGGAGAGAAAGCAAGCATACTGAGCACATCCTTTGGAAAATGGCATTGGCTCCATGTTACTGCATGACAAGAAACACAGTAATCATTCACAGCCAACCCTTACATACAGATGGTTGAAACTTGACATTAAGGGCTAGATTCAAACTGAGGCTTTCCTGACACATTAATAGAGAACTTGTGAGTGCTTCTGCTAGCAGAATATTCAATGCAGTTCCCATTGAACTATTATATCGTGCAAGTTGACACAGTTTTTAAGTTCACTGTAACGATATTACAGGACTTTTCTATGCAACGGAAAAAGATCAAACATCAAGTGACAACAAAAATTCAGCCATTTCATGACGAAAAAAGACACCATTTCTACCTGGTTTATCCCACCATGCCGGAACCTGTCGGCCTAATGCCGTTTAACCCACACCATTGACCCCCCAACCACAGCAACCAAGTTCCACGTTCGTGGAGTCAATTGTGCGTTGTGCGTTGCATTTGGCCGTGTTGTTTCGTTGGGAGGGGTGCCCATTCGACGCGACGTTTACGACACATCTCGATTCGTTCCACCTTTCCATGCCAGCTAACATGCTTAAGTCCCAAGATATGTCAAAGAACACAAGATGTGTTCGTTTTATAATAGCTTTGTATATTCTAAGACCTCACAAGTGACGAACTCAACATTCAACTCGAGTAACATGAAGAAAAAATGCAGAACATTTGTCATGAAAGCTCGCCTAGTGTTATCAGCTGACAACGTTTACCTGATAAATAGCGCTTCCGTAGCGAAGGGCTTATTTACGACAAAAGCGTCTGGATGGCGCTGCTGTACATAAATTGAGGTTGTTCGGGTTGGAATAGGGGCGTATAATTTGGAATTGTGAGTGAAAAATTGCTCTGGATCAAGAATTCAAGTGACGAAAAAGATGTCATGCTTTAGTGTTCACCAGGAGATATTTTGCGAGGACGCAGCATACCTGGAGTAGCAATGCTGTCTGCTTATCCTTGCTGTTTTTGCACGGGTGTTTAGTAGTCTTTGTTGTAGTTCGTCCTTGTCCGTCAGTGGGCTGTAAGCTGCCTAAAAGGTGGAAGTCAAGAGTTCTGAAAGCATTTTACAGTGGGAGACACTGTGGGCAAGATCGTAAACTCAGATGCTTTTAGGCCAAGATGCAGGCAAATTATCTTCTGGCTCTCACACTTGCCTGACATAGTGTTCTGAACATAATGTGTGTGTATGTGTGCACCAAACAATGGCCAGACCAAGTTGTGCCATATTACCAAGCTAAGAAAAATATTTCTTGGGTGCTCTTGCCTCAAGTATCATTTTGATTATTAAGTCTTCATGGCATTGGCTCTGTGTGCAGGAATTGATGGTGACCATCCATGAAACCCTTGGCATTGGATTAAGTGGGTGAATTGCCTAAGACTATAGCCAGGATGTGGCTTACTACCCAGACATGTTAAATGTAGCTTGCTTTTTCATTCTGTGCATGAGCATCATGAATTACATCCAATGCATCTGCTGGAGTACAAGATGTACACAATTTGCCAATAAAACCAAGAATATGTTGGAACTCTTGCAATTGTTTATCTGATAAGTTTTTGCAATGACACAGCCCAGTAGCCAGTAGGTGCACTTTGTGACTGTGTGTCCCCTGGGACCTGGGGTGCACCCCTCAGACTTATTTTATGCACATAGTGGCCTTTTGCTACTAAGGTTTTTGATTTTTATCACACCAGGTACCTACATTTCTGTTGTGACTATGGCATGCCTCCCAGCCAGTTTTGTCTGGTTGGGGGTCTTTAGAAGTGTAAAACAAGTGTCAGTTACCAGCATACAGAAAATATGGCTCAACATCTGCTTCTTAAAATGCATGTGCTCTGCTATTTTTCTTCCCAGACTGTTTTTAAATTTTAAGATTGCATTTTATATTGTTATCCTCCCAAGCTCTTTAAACTATGGACTATGAACTATCAATACATGTAAATTTACACTTGAAATGATAAAAATGTATGTTCTATGGATGTGTGCTCATTTTCCATTTTCCATTTTGCATTCTGTTTGAGCACCAGCTGGAAGGCATGCTCAAAAGATGAACAGGTACCATATGAATGGCATCTTATTATTTGTGATGTTATTACATTATTATGTTATATTAACTTATTGAAGCAGCTGCACTTGCATGTACATCATGACATGGACATGGTTAATAACAAGATTTCAAAGCTAACTATCAAACAAATTTTACCCAAGCCAGCATATCTGACAGCAACTCAAAGCATGTGCATGCAGTTAAGGTTTTGTTTTCTACATGAAGCCCTATTTTTCCACTTGCTGCTTACAAAATAGTGATTTCAGCATTTTAGAGCATAGATTATCAATTCCATAGGTCTTCTGCATGCTGTTTTTGTCCCAGCATGTTGGTGATGTGCATAGTGGCATTGAATTAAAAGTAATGCATGGCATAAACCCTAGATTAACATGAAACAAACCATTGAAAATGTCAATTAACTTAAAATATGAGTGGGTAAAGTATGTGGCTGAAAATTAATGTAATAACACACTCCCACTGACATAGCCTGAGATGTGTGCTTCAGCTATCAAAGCCCAAGGAAAGCTTATATGGGCTGACAGCCTTGAGAGTAAAGCCTGCTGGTGTTTTGTAGGTGGGGTTTCTGCTGGTGACTGCTGCATTTTGGGTAGAAGTTGGCATGGATGGTGAAACAGTCACTTACCTTCAATTAAACATTGGGCGTGCTGCCTTCTCTTCAAAGGATTTGTTTAATGGTGCATGGGTGTGAAAATGGTGGGGGGGGGGGGGGGCAAGGAGGGGCTGAACCCTTAACTTTCAGAGAGCTTGCATATTTTGTCTGTTAAAAAACTTTTCTGTACCACTCCTATTATGGGGGGCTTTTGTCACCCAGCTGTGTTGTAAATGAAATATAAAATATTTGGTAAAGCTCAGTTCAAAACCACTCCTGACCTTGCTAACTACTTTTAGTCATTGAAAATCCTGGGTTCAGAAATACAGTGCTTCAAATAGGGGTTGGAGATGAGGAGTCAGCATCAATCCAGAACCTGTCTGCATTCCTGCACAGCATTCATTTATGGTTTCAGGATCATGGGAAGTGGTCCTCTTAAACAAATCTTTTACATCATTTGTTGTTAATGGGGAAAACTCTCTACTCATGTTTTTTATCTTAAGATATTACAAAACATACTCAAAGCCCTTTAAATTTGCTAACTTTTACATTGCCTAAATGGCTTGGATAGCTTAGTTGATTAGTGTCTGCCTTCCAGTCCGCCCACTCATTGCGTCGTGAGATCGAGCTGCCTTAGCTCCTCGCTATTTGGTCTTGGCCTTGACAGGCATGGCCTGCAGCCACAGTGTGGTCAGATAGCGTCAGAGCGCGGATTTGTGAGATCACATGGTAGGAGTCCGGGCTCTCACGGCAAGCACTGCTTAGTGTGAGCTCTGATCCCAGAAAGCTGTCATAAAAAAGGTTTAGGATTAAGTGTTTGTTTTTTTAAAGTAACTCATGCTTTAATAAAGACTAGAATTATAATCAGAACTGATTGGATTGAAAGTTCAGCTTTGAGTGCCTGCTTGCATTGTCAGAGGTGGGATCAGAGCTTTATTTGATATTGAGGAAGTTAGTTGGGTAGTTTCAGGGAACTTGTACAACAACTGTGAGTTTGGGCCAATCTTGGCCTGTGTTGCAAAAACCTGATGAGTAGAATTGTTTCACCCAAGGTTCACTTGAGAATTAAAGAGACTGAAGAATATAGGAATTCCCAGAGTGATGTTGGTATCCAGTGGGCTTTTTCATGAGCCCTAAGCAGGGTCCATTCAATCTTCCAAGGTCTCACCTTATCAAGCCCTCACCTGATCATGTCTGGACCTAACCTGATTCACCTTGCATTGCCCATAAGGTAATGCAAAACTACGTTGTGAAAGGGGTACTAGAATTCTGCTGAACATCGCACATAACTGAGCATTAGAAATAGCTGAGCATTAAAAATGGCTGGACATTTTTAGCCACAGGAGAAATGTCAGTACAATATTTGAATTGTGAAAGTCCCAAGTGTTCTAGAGAGGGTCCATGGAAACAGAAATGGGGTATAGGGGTCTCATAAAAGACTTCAGGGCCTACATATGTATCATGCTTCAAACAGAGGCTTCCAAAGTTGATATCACAATTGATAGATAAGCACCACTAAGGAAAGGCTTAGATGTACAAAGAAGTAATATGATACAAGATGTTGATATTTTAAACAGTCTTGGCTGCAGAAGGTGGTACTGGTGGCTTGACTGTTTTTTTTTGTTGTCACATTATGCTAATGTTGCTAATGCTAAGCTCTGATCTGTTGCTAATGAGACTTGACTGAGAAGATATCCAGAATTACATGATGGAAATGTGTTACTGTAATTTGTGACATGACAACAAAGCCTACTGGTTGAATGCCATGATGACATTTAACCAGTAGGCCACTAAACCAGTAATTTCAATTTAACCACCAAATGTCATTACTGAATGATGACATGTGTTCCTGTTTTACAGTCTGGATATCTGAACACTTCTTTCAACATGGCGGCAGGTCCATACAACTATTCCTACATCTTCAAGTATATCATAATAGGAGACATGGGCGTCGGAAAGTCCTGTCTTCTCCACCAGTTTACAGAAAAGAAATGTATGTACTAGCAAACATGCAGACATATGCTTTAAAATCAGGATGTCTGTGGCGAGTGTTTTGGTCTTAACATTTTTCAAGATCAACATCTCACTCTGTGGGACCATCTGATTTGTGGTGTGCCGAACACTAGTTATAGCAATGCTCATTACATGTCCGTGCTGTCTGTCTGATGATCGTAAACCATCGCACTCTGTGAGTTGTACCACGGCAGCACGACAGCACAATGTCGTAAGCGCGCACTGTCGCTGAGCTGGAGACGACCGCGCTGCCGTGCCGGTGGAGGTCGGGCTGTGTCCAGGTCAGACAGATCAGACCCCGCCCCCAGTCATGGCCGACTGTCCGCACACGATCGGAGTCGAGTTCGGCACCCGGATCATCGAGGTCAGCGGCCAGAAGATCAAGCTGCAGATCTGGGACACGGCCGGCCAGGAGCGCTTCAGGGCCGTCACCAGGTCGGTCAGGGGTCACCGAGTCCGTCTGGTGGCGTGATGTCAGTCTGGCGTCATGTGACCAGTCGGGCGTCACCAGAGTGGTCCCATGTGGTGGGACCGGTCCTATGTTAACGGGTCCGTTCAGGTGTTTCTGGGGCAGGCTAAGTGTCGAAGGGTGGGTCGGGTGTGACGGAAACAAATAACTACTATGTATGTGATAATTTTACAATGGGATTGCTGCCATGTGCATTGCTGTAACAAGTAATACTTAACTTGGCACAGAAAGACTGGCCTTTAGCTCTTTCTTTGGCATGATATGTTCATTGTATATTTGCAGTAGTGCAGCAGATAAAGAGGTCGACCAGAAAGCACTCATCATTTCCATCACGGACTTTTGCAAAAGTGCATTCTATTTATGGCATAGCACGTCGGTACAGAACACACCAAAATAAATCAAAAGAAGGAACTGTTTTAACGTTAACTGGTCGTCCGGCTGCTACTTCCAATGCATCCGAGTCTGGTTAGTCAGTCGAGCAGCCTGGCCAGTCTTCCGACACCATTTTAGTCACGTCGCGCTGGCATAGGCGTCACGTCGTGATGGGCGGTGTCACCAGGTCAGTCTGGTGTCGCCAGGCCAGTTTTGTGTGCCCCGCCAGCTTTGTAACCGATATGGCCGGGTCAGTTCGGTGTTGCCAGGCCGGTCCGGCGTCGCCCCGCCAGCCTTGTGGCCTGACGTGGCCGGGTCAGTTCGGTGTCACCAGGCCAGTCCGGCGTCGCCCCGCCAGCCTTGTGACCTGACGTGGCCGGGTCAGTTCGGTGTCACCAGGCCAGTCCGGCGTCGCCCCGCCAGCCTTGTGACCTGACATGGCCGGGTCATTCTGGTGTCGCCAGGCCAGTTTTGTGTGCCCCGCCAGCCTTGTGACCTGACGTGGCCGGGCCAGTGTGCCGTCACCGCTGGCGGAGAGACAGGCACCGCCCCCGGCCGGCCGGGCTAGTACACAGTGTATCCTGAGTTTGCCCCATGCGAGGTTCCCGGTACCCGGCAGGCCCGTTCCCAGTCCTGCGCAGAGGCTGTCTGCCGTGGTCGTACTCAGAGACGCGGTCCCCGGTTGACCGCGCCGCCCCCGCCGCCCACACCGCCCGGCCGGCGGTCAGGCCCGCCGCCCAGACTGCCGTGCCGACGGTCAGGCCCGCCGCCCACACCGCCCGGCCGGCGGTCAGGCCATACGCTGTCGCCAGATGGTCCCGCTCGCACACGGCCGTTAGTGGCGTGACTGGACTGATCCCTCCGGGCCACGCTTTCAGGAGATCGGTTTTCATCTGAGCGGCGTGTTACGGCCTTGAAGCCGTCCTTGCCGCCGGCGGCTGGTTTATCGATCAGGCGACCACGTGCGCTTGTGGAGCGCTGCGGCGCTACCAGTCCGGCCACCGTCGCCGCCCGTCGTCTGGGTGCTGGTGTTGTGTGCGCGCTGACCGCCGCCGGCGCCGCCAGGTCGTACTACCGCGGCGCGGCCGGCGCGCTCATGGTGTACGACATCACGCGGCGCTCCACCTACAACCACCTGAGCAGCTGGCTGACGGACGCGCGCAACCTGACCAACCCCAACACGGTGGGTGACGGCCGCGCGCCGGGTGGGGCGGGGGAGGGCCCGGCCGGCCGGGCCGGACGCGCCGCTTCGGTGGCTGCGGTCGTCTCAGGGGATCGTGTCCAGTGCAGTTGATCACCTCATGTGGTCGTGTGGTGTGTGCCGCGCTGTTTGTGCAGTTGCGTTGTCAGTTTGTGTGTGGACGTGCGGCGTACATTGTTTGCCAGAGCGACGTTTTGGTCGTGTTCTTTGCTGATGTCAAAAACAAACATTCAAAACATTAATGGCACGTGTGACCGCGTCCTGGTCGCGGGCTTTCCTGACCTGGCGCACCGCTCGGCAGGTGATATTCCTGATTGGCAACAAGTGTGACCTGGAGGCGCAGCGAGACGTGACCTACGACGAGGCCAAGCAGTTCGCCGACGAGAACGGTCTCATGTTCGTCGAGGCCAGTGCCAAAACGTGAGACGTGGCCACCTGCGGACCGCACGCGACGCGCTTTATGCGCCTCTCCCAAGCCGGCTGGGATAACCGTGTTGGCGAAAGCCAACCGCTGACGTCGATTGTAGTGTTTGGAACCTGTTGCTGTGTGGGTTACGTAAATCGCACCTGCTTGGTGTCATGTATGTATCCGGGCAAGTGTCGCAAATTGTACCGGTTCGGTTTATGGTTCTAGAGGTTCTTGTGTTGATTCCGAGGTCTTACGCTCAGCGGTTTAGCGCGTTTGCCGCCGACTGTGTGTGGTGCCCGCCATTGCCCGTCGCCGCCCTCTTAGCTGAGCCTCCGATCCCCGCCGCAGTGGAAACAACGTGGAGGAGGCGTTCCTGGAGACGGCCAAGAAAATCTACCAGAACATCCAGGACGGCAGCCTGGACCTCAACGCGGCCGAGTCGGGCGTGCAGCACAAGCCGTCGCAGCAGGGGCGCACCACACTGACGGCGCAGGCCTCCACCGCCAAGGAGAACTGCACGTGCTAGCTAGGCGGGCGGTCCTGAGCGGCGCGCACCCCCGGGAGCGGGCCGCCGGCGTCCGGACCCGCTCCGGACGGCTGCTGACCCCCAGGGACGGCCCGTGAGTGGTGTGGCTGGGGCCGCCCTGGCGCCGGCCCAGCGACCCTGCCGGACCGGGCGTTCGCGAGTCTCACTCTCTGAGGCGGTGCGGGGAGGCCCCAGAGCCGGATCTGCGCTGCGCTGTCCGGGGATGCGGCCCTGGCGCCGGCCCAGCGACCCTGCCGGACCGGGCGCTCGCGAGTCTCACCCTCTGAGGCGGTGCGGGGAGGCCCCAGAGCCGGATCTGCGCTGCGCTGTCCGGGGATGCGGCCCCGGGCCGAGCCCCGGCGACTCGCGGCAGTCCACATCAGGCATTTGACCACGGCCTCGCCGCTCGGGGATGGGCCGCGGACGGTGTCGGTGGGTCGCGTCGCTCCGGGGCTGGCTCGACGCGTGGTGCGCGTCTCCAGCCGGGCCGGCCGCGCTCCGGCTACGTCTCGACCTCGCCGGGCGGGGCGCACGACCTCGGCCTCGGATGTCCGCGTGCAGTGCTTTAGTGTGCCGGTTGGGGATGCACGAGCCGCGAGCACGGTTTGCAAGGTGCCCGGCTGGTGTGGTCGACCTCTCAGCACCCCCTCGAGCTACACGTCAAGTGATATACACGCGCGTGTACACCAAATCATACACGGACCCGCGCGCATGCGTGCTCCGTGCAGACGGCTCCGACCCGCCCTCCGTCGCCCGCCGTGGGTCCTCTGTTGGGGGCGGAAGGATCGGGTGGAGTTGTGAACAAAGCGGGGCGCCGGTGCCGCGCGCGCTTTTTCGTGCGCACCCTAAAATGTGATGTAGCTGTGCGTGTCCTTGAGAATGGACCTCATCCAGAAAGGCATAGTAACCGTGCGCGCCTAAACACGCATCTATTTTACGTTATTCCAATAGATTATACCGCTTTGGATATGTTAGTGCGAGCCGTAGCCGGCGGTGTGCGGATGTAGGTTGATTGTTGGCGTGGTAACGACTGCTTCGTTTGCCCCTGTGCCGCCCCACTGTGCCCTCGCTCCGTGTGCCGTGTCGGCCGTCTGCCGGCTGGCGGACTCCGGCTGGCGCGCCGCTGGTCCTCCGGCCGCCGGTACCTTGTTGTCGTCCGTCATTGGCCGCGACCTCGCGATGTTCAGGCCGCTCACATTCCTCTCGCCGTCTGCCGCGATACTGTGTCCCGCCATGGCGGCGCGCGCCCGGCCGGCGCATGGCGCTGACTGACTGACAAGAGGGCGCGCCGCGGCCGCCGGCGCGCTCCGCCAGCGTGCGCCCGCGCCGACTGACTGTTGACAATGTTTTAATGGGGTCATATGGTAAATAAACCAGTTTCAAAATCGTGGAGCTTGTGAATGAGAGTACGTTGGAGGGCAGCTCCGATCTGCATCCCTATCCAGGAACGAGTAATGCTCAGTCGTGATCCTAGGTGGTCTGTCACGCCGGTTTGGCCAAAAAAGGTGTTGACATGTGAAATACTCGAGGAGCGAGAAGTTTTATTCTAACTGACGTTCACGAACTACTCGCTTTGCACATTGCAGAAAGGACTAGGACGGTAGACAGCTAAACAAAATGAATGGCCATCGCAAAGTGTGTGGAGTATTTTGTTGTTTCGCTTCATCAATTTTTCTTGGCTGTCGCATGCCGTTCAAATCTTATGTGCATGTGACCCATGGCAGGAGCCTGGGGTTCCTCTTCGCAGGTGCCTCTCGAGCAATCATGTTAAGACACCTTTTTGTGGTGGTGGGTATCGAATGATCAATATCACGCATCTCACTGCATGAGCACTATGTACGAACTTTCTGAAACTTTCAAAGAGGTGGGCGAGCTGCATTCCTTCCCAAAGCCACAGACGCAGAATTGTGAGATTGTAGTCAGTAAGCACGTTTTCACAGGTCGTGCAGGAAGGGTTCCAAAAATGTGCAATAGATGGCGGTTGCGGATCTGCGGACGCCGTGATGCTCTAGGGCCTTGGCCGCGGCATGCTGGTTAAGGCCGTAGTTCTAGGGCCTCGAGGGCTGTAGGGGGGGGGGGGGGGGGGGGGTGGGAGTGGAGTGGTGCGGTGAGGGTGGCTGTAAAAGTGTGGATGGAAATGTCGAGTTTTGAATTAGGCCAACCTTGAGATGTTATCAGAGGTCTATATTGGGAGGCAGAGGCTGGTTAGCTGAGACAACCAGTCCGAACGGCGTGCGCGCTTCTATCTGTAACGCGTCTATGTGCAGAGGAATAAGAACGTCAGGTAATTGTAGAATTTGTACCCTGCATGCCCTTTTTCATAAAAATCATCATATTAGTTTCTTATTTTAAAGTGGCCTTTTGAGAATGGAAGGGGTTGGAAAAACAGCATAAAAAACCAGTGATTACATCAACTTCCAGGCAAGGTGCTGGATGCCTGTGTCTGTGTTAACTGGTGCACTTTGTTTGCTAAATCAGGCTCTTGATTTTTCAGTGCATCACCACTAGAGGAGATAGACAACAACTTCATGAGAATAGAGGCATTAAATGGTGATGTTAATCTTTCAGCCAGCAATGCCCAGTGATAAAAGTGTAAGTGAGTGTTAGATGCAGCATAATTTTTTTGACAGCATGCAACAAAATCTGTCATCCACTCTGACTTCATGGCAGGGGCTGAAGGAGTTCCTAACCCAGCTTACAAACTTGAAATGCAATCTCAAGCTCTGTCAGACCCAGTCTGCAAAAATTGGCTGCTTTGCAGGATGTGTATGGGGACATTGATGCTCTGAGCCTCATGCTTATGTGTGCTGCGCTCAAGCTGGGCGAACTGCTCAATTTTCCATTTTTGTCAGAAATTGTCTCGAGATGTAGCACCTAGATGTGGGCTACAGTGCATGTCCTGGAAATATTGCAGTTATGTTACTGCCACATGTGACATGTTGCATAATATGTATATTTTGCAGTCTGGGCTGAGGCTATGTGGGACAAGTGGTGTAAGCAAGAGCACTTCTCTGGATGGTACTCTATTTAAGATAATGCTATTGTTTGATATTGTCTTGCAAAGGAGAGTTTGATAGCTAAAACTATATAGAAACCAAGCATTGCATGCATGCAGGTCATGCAGGCAATATGGTTGCAGGTTTGTTGTTCGAGAGCATGATGCAGGGTTGTTTCTGAGCAAGTAAATCAAAAATTAATTTTGTGTGTGCCTATGACAGACACCGCATTTTTGCTAGCATATCAGCACTAGACCCACCCATCCACACCTTTCAGTGAGTTTGTACATCAATACTGCACTTAACTGAAACTGATCCTGTAATTGCTAGGCCTACTGATATTGCAGCCTGATTTAAATTCATCCCAGAAATGAACTGTGTATGTATGATTACACACTGCAGTTTAGGACTGTTAAATGTCATCACTGAAATAAACTGGTACCACCATGGCCATAGCTGGTATAGGATATAGTGTTATTTTAAATGTAAAGGTTTTTCCCTTTGCTGATGTCATAAGTCCTCATGCTGAATTGCATCTGATTTCCAGTGAGCCATGACACGGCTAAGGGTCATCAAGGAGGCCACGCTGGATGGCACAATTAAGGAGGAGCCGCCGGATGATGACGTCACGCCAGATGATCTGATAACTATAGTCTCCGCCGAAACGGACTATCCCATGACGCTGGTTCCTGCCAATCTGGCTGGTCTAACCACAGCAAACCCAGCTGATCAGGGTAACTCGTCCGCGGTGGACGCGGTAGACACGGATGGTCCGGTCTCACAGGACTCGGACGATCCGGACCCGCCAGATCCGGACGATCCGGCCCGGCCGGACCCGGACCCGGACCGGCGAGTGGCGCCGTCTGGTCGGCCGGTGCGTTCCAGCCGGCGGACGGGGCCGACGCCGTGGCGGTGCGCCGCCTGCCAGAAGAGCATGCCCTCCTCGGAAGCCTACGACCGGCACATGGAGGAGCACGAGCGCCAGCTGGGCCGCCGCTGCCCCGTCTGCGCCAAGGTGCTGCGCGGCGCCGTCAGCGACTTCCGACGTCACGTGCGCCTGCACTCGGCTGAGAAGACGCACCGCTGCCAGCAGTGCGACAAGACGTTCACGCTGGCCAGCTATCTGAGGCGCCACGTGTACGCGGTGCACCGACTGGAGCGGCCGCACCGCTGCCCCGTCTGCCGCAAGGGCTTCAAGTACCCTAGCCAGATGCGGCTGCACCACATGACGCACACGGGCGAGAAGCCGGAGCGCTGCGACGAGTGCGGCAAGACGTTCCGCTCGCAGTGGTCGCTGTGCGTGCACGAGCGCATGCACCGGGGTGAGCGGCCGTACGTCTGCCGCTGGGAGGGCTGCGGCTACGCTGCCTGCGACGGCTCCAGTCTGCGCCATCACCTCAAAATGGTGCACACCAAGGAGAAGGCCGCCAAGTGTCCGCACTGCGACAAGACGTTCGTCAAGCCCAGTCAGGTGCGCATGCACGTGCGCATGACGCACGTGGGCGAGAAGAACGTCAGCTGTGACATCTGCGACCGCAAGTTCTTCAACAACGCGGCGCTGCGGGTGCACCGAGCCATCCACACGGAGGAGCGACTGGTCACGTGCCCGCTGTGCCCGGCCACCTTCAAGACCAGGAGCAACATGAGCACTCACGTGGGCACGCACACCAAAACGCCCGATCACAAGTGTACCATTTGCGGAAAGGGCTTCAAGTTCCCCGCCTACCTGGTCAAGCACATGGAGACGCATAACAAAGAGCGCGCCTTTAAATGCGAGTGTGGAAAGCGCTTCCGCACGGTGCGGTACCTGCAGCGCCACGCACAGAGTCACGAGCGCGGCAAGCGGTTCTCCTGCTCGCACTGCGCCAAGCGCTTCGTCTCAGCCGCCTCGGCCGAGAAGCACACACAGCGCTTCCACACGCGCGTGCCGTCCATCTGGTGCCTGCAGTGCAACACGGAGTTCCGCCGCGCCGCCAAGCTGGTGACGCACTACGGCGCGCGCCACCGCGCCGACGGCCCGTTCCACTGTCCCGACTGCGGCCAGGTGTTTAAGGCGGCGCGGCCGTTCGCCCGGCACCGCGGCAGCATGCACATGTCTTACGTCACCGACGGCAAGCCGCTGGCGGAGTCCGACGAAGCCTCGGAGTAGCCGCCGCCGCGCCAGCTCGGTCAGCGGCAGGCGCCGGGCGGTGGGCAGGCGGACGAAGTGGGCCGCACAGTTGTCGGCCCGCTCGGGCCCCTGCGGCCGTCAGGGAGTCACGTGCGGCGCCGCTAGCCCGTGGATGAAGGCACCGCTTCGTGACGCCATCGTGCCCGCTGCGGCGTCTCGGGTGTTCGGCGTCTAACATCCGTGATGCAGCGACCCATCGGACATGTTTCGGGGCCGTGTCGCGCTTCCAGAACACGCCCAGGGCGCGCTATCGGCGCCCGCTGGTCCTGCCGCGGACACTGCTGTCAGTGGGTGCTCTATCCCCTGTCCTGTCCGTTCCCTGTCCCGGACAGTTTACTTCCGGCTGCTGGCGCGAGGTCGCCTGCGCGCGGATGTTGTTCGTTCGGCGGTAAGCGACGAGCAGCAGCATCGCGGTGCTTTGCGCGGTGACCTGCCATCAATCCTCGCTCAGGTGGCAATGCCGAGCTGCGCGATAGTGGGTGAGGATTGTCGCAGTGGTAGCTGCTGGACGGCGCTTCAGTGTTGTCAGAGCCGCTGGTCGTTTCGGATACTAGAGTATAGTAGATGGCCATTTTATGTTGTAACAGGGTTCGTCGGACGCTTTTACGTGCGGTTCGTTTGAAGTTGAGAATGTAGGTGATGCCATGGAGGTGCGCTAATGCATTTTTCTCAGCTGGCTTGCTTCGTTCGGACTCTTCTGTTGTGTCCCATGGGTCTGGGTAGTTGATGGATGGTGGTAGTCTGTACAAACCATTTCAATGTCACTAGGTAGAGTTGTTGTGGTGAATGCAGCCGGTACGATTGAGCTAAATGATCCTTGTTGTGGTAGAAGTGCTGTCAATTACTTTGAATGTAACCATAAGGGTTGATGTTGTGCGGTCAAAATCTGAATGGAGGTAGAGATATTCAAACGGTTTTTTTCTAACAGTCTAGTCCTCAGGTGCATGACGCTGGTGTGCCAACCTACCGAGTGTCGTCTTTCATGTGTGCTCGCCTTTACTTTTGTTCAAATGCATCGCGTTTGGTTACATTTGACTTATTTCTTGTTTGGGCGGCTTTGTGGGCCGTCTTTGCAGCATGCTCTGTGTGTCCTTGCGAACGAAGTCATCGGTCGACCCGGGCCACCAGCTGACCGAAGGATACGTGACCTGAACGGTCAGTGATGACGTAGTTATGGTTATGTTGGGTGCTATGGTATGATATTTGGAGTCATGGCCGACCGTCACGTTGGCTTCAGCAACACGTAGCACAGATGTTTGAAGGATGCGCTGTGGTCTTTCCAAGGTATTCGCTTGCTGTTAGTACCTATCTGTTCTGTATCTGTTTGCAGTTTTGTTGTTCGCTGCCACACTTCCGCGGTTCAGATCATGCGCAGGCCATTCTGGAGGTGAGCATGGCACAGTGGTGCCTTTGAATGTGTTTCAGCGCAAAACTCCCGGGCCGGAGGCAGAACGCGACGCTAGCGCCATCTGAGCTGTTTTTTGCCGAAAAGGTAATTAGCTGCTCATTGGAGGGTAAATTACCGCCAGAAACTTTTGGGAAGACAGGAATCTTTCAAGTTTGGCCCTCTGAGCATGACTCCACAAGCAGCTGTTTATGTGAAAGAAAGGCTCTGGCTGTCGAAACCAGGTGAAGTCATCGGATATAATAAACGCCGTATATATATATATATATATATATATATATATATATATATATATATATATATATATATATGCCTACACATTTAGTCATACAAATGGTTATTATAACCGCTGCGGGTGAGCGAGAGGCGACGCGATGAAAAACTCCGGTTCGCGCACCGGGCTATCCGGTGTGTTCCCCAAACGTCTGACAGGGCTCGGAGTGGTGCCCGGAGTGGCTACACTGGCTTGGAGTGGTGTTCGGAAGGACTCCATTGGCTTAGAGTGGTGCTCGAAAGGGGTACATTGGTTTGGAGTGGTGGTCGGAAGGGCTACATTGGCTCGGAGTGGTGCTCGGAAGAGCTACATTGGCTCGGAGTGGTGCTCGGAAAGGCTACATTGGCTCGGAGTGGTGCTCGGAAGAGCTACATTGGCTCGGAGTGGTGCTCGGAAAGGCTACATTGGCTCGGAATGGTGCTCGGAAGGGCTACATTGGCTCGGAGTGGTGCTCAGAAAGGCTACATTGGCTCGGAATGGTGCTCGGAAGGGCTACATTGGCTCGGAGTGGTGCTCGGAAAGGCTACATTGGCTCGGAATGGTGCTCGGTAGGGCTACATTGGCTCGGAGTGGTGCTCGGGATGGCCACGTTAGGTTGGAGTGGTCCTGGGAATGGCTACATTGGTTCGGTCGCAACAACACGTTGCAACCGAAGCCTATGTTTTGCCCCTCCGATGTGCAGACAAAGGAGGCAATAACATCCGTGATGGGAGTCAGCTTAGTCGGCTAACAAGGTCAGCTTCTGATAGAAAAGACCACGCGACCGACCTCGAATGATCACGATGCCTGCCCTTTGTCGCGGGCAGCTGGACTCATCCGGTCGGTAAGGACGAATAATGTGGCAAAAAGAACGCTCACTTGTCCGTTCTTACAACTGTTGACAGAACGGAGCCGGCCGCGAGCAGCCCTCGCGTGCGTCCGAGGCATCAGAGGCCAGTGAGATGCCGCCGCCAGGTCTGGGTGCTCTGGAAAATTTGTCACATCAGTGGCGTAGTCAAAGGGGGGGGGGGGAGGAGAGCAGAGCCCCCCTCCCCTGGAAAGGACGGGACACGTGAGATTGAAGACTTGGATAGTTTTGATAGCGTTAGGTGACCTGGGGCCTCTGGAACATTAAACACTGACTTCGAAGCATCTAGATCGGGTACCGAATCTAAAAGGCTTCCCTGAATAAAACAAAACAGGACAGCTGTACCGACGACGTGGGGTCTCTGTGGCTAAAGGGACACCGTGAGCCCCACTTTGGCCCCCTTCTGGGCGAAATTCTGGCTACACCACCGAGCCACACTCGGTGTGTCGCTGATATCGTGACTTCCATTGTCGTCTGTTGGTCTGTATTGGTCGGTCCGGAGATGAACACACGATCTGTAACTCTCTGCAGGAGGAGGCGACTCGCCCGGCCCAGCGGCTGCTGCCAGGCAGCCAGGGAGGCTGACTGACGCATCTGGGTATCACGCTGGGTGATCGAATTAAGGCAGCGAGAGGGGATGACTGATCCCCGTAACGACCAGGATTGGTTATATCCACCACCGTCTCACCAAACACCCGTGACCGCGATGCAGCTGTCGCCCATGAGCGGCGGCTCGCCAAGGACAGTCGTCATGCTAGCCAATATGCGCACACCGAAACTTGACTACGGAGCTCGTCGCACCCAACCAGTGGCGGAACGAAACGAGGGGACCACGGGGTCATGCCCTCCATCCGGTGGCGTCGAGGGAGCCTTGGGTTCCAAAGGGGTCCATGACCGGTCGAACGGATCCTTTTTTTACAAAAAACAACAAATTTGGACGTCCTTGTGCCTCCAGGCGTCCAAGCACAGTCGGAAGCAAAAGTGAAGGGCCCGTGGGCAGTCAAAAATGATTCCCCGGTTATTGGGAGGGTGGCGATAGAGGAGATTCTGAGCCTCATCACGCTGTCCACAGGCTTTACGCCGTTCCGGGGGCCCTATATGCTCATTCGCCGGATAAATCAGATTGGTGAAGAGCCTTCTGCGTTACCCTCGATCCCTTTGCATCTGTTCGGGGGGCCCCACACTGGTGATGGGCACCATTCACTAACATGCCGGGGCACTCTTGATAGAACGGGGACCCTCCATGGATTTTTCCGTTTCGCCCGAAAGGCGTAATATGTTGTTTCCTGGGGCCCCATATTCTAACGTGCCGAGATACTGTTTGCTGCTTAGGGTCCTTCACGTTGCTGTTGAGTTCTTTCTTCTTGCTCGGAGGGCCCTGCGCTCTGCCCGGCACCCTATATGTCAACCTGCCCGGGCACTACCGATCGTCCAGGGGGCCATCACATTGATCTCCGGTTGTTCTCGCTTGCTCTGAAACCCTTCAGTGCTGACGGCAGCTTCTTTGTTGGCCTGCCTCAGCCTCTTCAATCGCTTCGTCCCCTACCGTCCCCCTACGCCGTTGGCGGGGGTCTAAATTTGCATTGGCCGGGGTACTCTAGATCGTTCCCTAGCCCATCACATTGGTCGAGGGCTCTTCCATTGAAGCCAGAAGAATTTTAGTTTGTTGCCGTAAGCCCCACATGTGCTCGCGAGCTCCGCGTGTTTCGCCTTCTCGTGCTTCGCCACAGGCCTAGCTGAATTAATTCACGTACATGAGTCTGAAATCTACACTCTGTGACGATTTCCTTCGGCGTCTCAGTTTCAAAGCAGCACTGGGATATGCTCCGACTTAGTACGTGCAGTCGCAGGAGATAACTTTACGCGCCGCTGTCGTCGAATATGTCATCTCCGTCGTTTAACGGATGTGTGACAGTTATTACACTTGTGCGTTACGTACTTACTGCATTTTAAATGCTATGCTATTGTGTGCTTCTTTAGCCAAGCAAGAACTCTGCATTAGTTGTCAGTCATCGGTTGATCACATTGGCCATGCTAAATCAAGTGTCGTGCTTGACTTAAATGATACTTATCAGCCGAGTTTAGCTCATTTTTCCATATATTCGCCAAGACAGTTAGCCTCAATATGACAGGATGCACTATAATCTGGAGAAAACTAACGCGCTCCATGAATGTACATATTATATGTGTGCCACGCCTAGTTTCCTTAGCGTGCGCACAGGAAGTTGGTTCCCCTTATAACAAATAGGATTCATAAGAATTGTAATTTCTTTTAATGCAGAGGTCTCAAACTCCAGGGGCCCCACAATGTTGCTCGCCTTCTTCACCTGACGAAATCCTGGATCCACCACTCACCTAAATGTTCCAGGACTCCCTCTTTCCCCCCTCTCTTTCTTTCTCCCCCCCCCCTCTCTCTCTGTCTCTCCCCCCCCTCTCTCTCTCTCTCTCTCTCTCTCTCTCTCTCTCTCTCTCTCTCTCTCTCTCTCTCTCTCTCTTTCTTTCCTTTCACTCTCTCGTTGTCTCTCCTTCTTTCCATCTCCCACCCTTCCTCCTTGTTTCCCTACCTTCGTCGATCTTGTCCCATTCCCCGCCCTTCTTGTTATTTTGATTACATCTGTACGCTTAAGACAACAGGCCAGCCACTCGAGCTGGCAAACATTTTAAGGAGATATTGGACATATTAAAGTGTTTGAGTAATTACTAACTCATTCACGCCGTCGTCAATGCATGCACGCACACCAAAGTTGGAGGCCTTCGATTATTGAGCTATCTAATGCGGATGTCGAAAACAAACGTTAGAAATCGTGACAAAGCGTTCAAGACACCGTGCATTGACAGCATACTTTTACCATGAACATTTAAATTAATGCCCAAAAAACCCTTAAAATTTATCGAAAGATAGCACTGTGCGATATTCCACACCAAATAATCACGTCCATTGCAGTGATCACAAACCCAACCTTCCTTGCCCTGAATGCCAAGCCGTCGTGTGATCAATGCGGGCGAAAAACGATCCCACTGAGCCCGCAGCTCAGTACAGTATTCACCTCGACACGCTGCAGCCATTCCGACTGAGCGGCGCTCACTTTCAATAATCAATAGCGCTTGTGCCGAGAGCGTGACGGCGGCGGCGGGCGGCGGGCCGGGCGGACCTTTGTATGCCGCCG